TTAATACTGGAACAGGAACTAACTTTATTCAAATAAGATAACGCCACACATGGCGCTCTGGTAGACATGCGAGTGGCGCCGCCCGGTGGGCGCATCAGTACTAGTAGTCACAGGCTACTACAGCCACCAAGGGGAAAATAACTTTTTTTTCACGGGAGCTCTTTTTCAAGTCCGTCAAAAATTTTACGGGAGCTATTTTGAGCCTCATGAGAGCTATTTCGGAGGTTTGAAGAGCGAATCGCTCATCGCTCCCGTGTATTTTTTACCCTGCCTGCCACTAGTATAATTCATGCAGAAATTATGCCACACACACACATGACTACGTTCATTGGCCAAACAATAGACTAGCGCGGTTAGTAAGCTTTAAATAACAAACAGGCACTTGCTCTATTTCACTACCATGAAGTGGAAGTTTTCTGCAGGAATTTACTAGATAGCTCTGGGTACATTAGGTTGCACCAAATAATAAGGGGGATAATTTAAACAACAGAACATTCAGCTAAGCATAGATACCAGTATGGAGGCAGTTGCTTTTGCTGTTGTATTTTGCTGCGATGATGTGAATTTGATTGTGTGACTTTGGCAGTCATGGTTTCTCACCTAGTCTTATCTTTGTGTGAGTTTGTGTACAGCGGCGTGCGTGCGGTGAAATTGTGTGTTGCAGAGGAGCATTTAAACGGCACTTACATGGAATTATTAGTTGATAGAGAATTTCATGTTTATTTACCATCTTTTTATTATTAAAACGTTCCAATTGCCTGTGGCATCAGACACATTTTCATTACAATCTATACCATTAACAAATTATACACGTTTCAAACAGGATAATACCATAATTCTATTAAGCACAGATGAGAACGACATCGTTAGTGTTTGCAATGAATAAACACTGAACACCAATCCACAGGCAAATGGAACGTTTCACTAATAAAATTATGGTAAATAACACCAAATGTATTTATTACCAGTATTAATGTTTCTCTTCTCTCTTTCGTCTATTATTACTGATAAAATGCTACTCTTTTAAAAGTCCACAAATTTTCTGGTCACGCTTTCCCATCTGCTCTATAATTTTGTTGTTTGTGCACAGCGGCGTGTATGCGGTGTACTTGTGTGTTGCAGAGCAGCATTTAAACATCATTTACAGGGAATTATCGGTCACAATAGGGGAAAGAGAGAAGATAAACATTAAAGGGATACATTTCTCTAGGTTCTTCAGATATTTTCAGCTAAGATAGGTTAAAATTACGCTTCATAAAATGCTTTATGGTTCAATATTTATTAGAAATATTTTTTTAATGTTTTAAAACTGACGGCTATACCGTTGCTTACAATGACGGTGTCGCCGCAGGCAGCGCACCCAATGAAAAAGATGCGCAAAGCAACGTTTTGGCTACAGGCTACAGACCAAGGGTATTTCTTATTTATTAATTTAAGAGCAGAAGGATTCCAATATCTTATAAACGACATATAGTTTCAGTTATAATATGGATAAATTTGTCCTAAAATGAATATCCTTCGGTTAAATAGCATTTAGGTATAAATATAATTTCATTTTTTTGATTAGCCCTCAGTCTGTAATGTGCAAAATAAGATAAATTGGCAAATGCGCAACCTTTTCAGGATGGCGGCACGGTCACAGGTGTCATGTCAGCGCCCAAAAATAAGATTTCGAAATTCAATGGTGTTTTATGACAAATGTGAATGCGTAATTATAGATATTTATAGGTATGTGCTATTATTTATAAATCTAAGTACTATTATAAAATACTCTCAAATTCTAGAGGAAAGTATCCCTTTAAGACTTTGGTAATAAATACATTTCATGTTTATTTATCATCAGTGCCTGTGCACAAATCTAAATCATTGCTGCCACATATATTTCCTAACTCATAACTTGTGAGTGGACTACCTCATTAATGACATTGCTATGTAAATTTGATACATGTGTAAATAATTAATAACTGTGTATAAAAACATAGTATTAAACGTTGTTTACATACTGCATAATATCAGAAGTAGATAATAGGGACCACTATCTCCCTATTATCCTATTTCTTATACCCCTATATGATTTAGCTTGGTGAGTAAAACCAGACGTCCCAAGTGTCCCGGTCTCCACGGGATATCCTCCCGGTACGACATGCTGGTCCCGGTGCCCCGTGAATAAGTCCAGAAAGTCCCGGTCGTAACATTTTTCAGCCATATTTTAAAATTTACATCAGTAAATTACTTAAATTTGCGATGGTTTGTTGATGTACTTTGATCCAGCGAACAATAAACGACCACAAATGTCACTTTTTTTTGGCATTTTCATTTGAATTTCATTTTTTTACATTTATACTTTATAAAAGAATGGCGGTGCGCCGTGACAAACACATGTCGCAGCCTGCCACAACTTTATTACCTGTTTTTGCGCACCGCTGAAAAAAAGGCGATGGACCATTGATCACAAGTGATCCCTTTCTTGGATTTCGTAGCCTAGTATTTATAAGCCGCGTACAGTTGCCGCAGGCAATGCGGCAGTGGCCTGCGGCAACTGTACGCGGGCCCAACAAGAGTAGGGTTACTACGCGAGCCTATTCTTTTCTTTGGAGGAGCCCCTGAATGATTCACTCAGGGCGGTTTTATGGGCGTTTTTTCGAGGCTAGAACTTCCAAACACGATTTATTCTAAACATGAACGTTTTCTCTGCTATTCTGGACTTAATTACTATGTATCACTATACTCTGTATTAAACTAATGTAACCTGTTACAAAATTTTGAAGCGACGAGGGGCGGGCGAGGAGCAGATTGTGAGTGTGAGGCGCATCCAATGCGCAAGCATTCGGCTAACTTCGGCTCCTGTGTTGCCTCGCCTGACATGCTGGCTCTGGTGACATCATAACTGACAGCAGGCATCCCATGATGCATTCAGATCTTGGAGCAGAAGTTAGCCGAACGCTGATGCGCATTGGAATGCGTACGTCACAGGTCAACAGAAATGGCGCTTGAAAACATCCGCCGATCGTCGCCTTCGAAATTTTGTAACAGGTTACATAGGTAATATAGAGTATGTAATACATAGTAAATTAAGTCCAGAAATAGCAGAGAAAGGTTCGTGTTTAGAATAAACCCAGTTTGGAAGTTCTCAGTCTCGAACCTAGTCCCTACTCTTGTTGGGTTACATTATTATTTATTAATTAGTGCATGACGTGATAAATCGCGAATCTCATTGGATAACGCAGCAGGCACTATGAAGCGATAGTGCCCGCCTGAGCGGGCACTATCGCTTGCGCGACGCATTGTTTCTATAACGCATTGTGTTTACGTCACGAATGTCCTGCGTCTGGCCCACGCAAGAGTAATTTCGAACGGCGGTTGTGTTTGTGTCGAACGTTACCATCGAATGCACCGGCAAATTAGGAGTATAAAGAAGGTATATACGCATGAAAAGTAGATTTCTATAGTCATGTGATGTCACTAAAAAATTAATGCCTGCTGTTGGGGAACTATGCTCTCATAGTGTTGCTTTGGGAAGGAATAGGTGCGCGTCCTGGGGGGGGGGGGGAGGGCCTTCGCGGCACTACCTTCCTTCCCTCGAAGCAACACTATGAGCAGCATAGTGCCCCAACAGCAGGCATTAATATATAATTATGGTTACAATATGTTTTATTGGACGCTGTGGCTATATGCCCGGCAGCCGGCACGGTCTTCGTTTTCCTAAATGCCGCGCAGTTTCTAACGCCTAACTCTAACCCTAACCCTAACCCTAACAAAAACCTAACTCTAAACCCTAAACCTAATCCTAACTCTAACCCTAACCCTTGTTACTTGGAGATAACACTAAAAATTAAAAACTGCCGGCATTAGGAAATCGAAAACGCGTGCCCGGCAGCCGTCAGATATATGCCGGCTGCCGGGCATATAGCCACTCTGTTTATTGTATCTAGGATTTTCCCAACTTGGGACCTCTGGTAAAACGTTACGGTTAAGATGATTTATACGAGAAAATGTTGGTTTTATGTGTAATAGACGAGAGTGTTTGAAAATACAGAATACTGTAAGTATTCAAACTTAGGTTGTGAGTGGTGGCTGGCTATTCGACAACCCGAACGAATGCCTGACTATCACTATCACGCAACTCGGCTTGTATCTTGAGTCTCAAGACATGCATTGATGGAAGTACTGCAACCTGAATATGTGAAACGAGAACTAGTAGCATACTCACTGGTTTATGTTGCACATTAATTGCTAAATTGACTTCTTTCATGATCTGGTCAAATGCAGCTGTCTCCTCTGCTTGTTTTTGCGTATGCAGGGCTATTTTTTCACTAAATTTTCGTGGATTTGCCATGATGATGGCTGTGTAGTTAGTCTGTGGCTGTGTCTCTGCCCTAGCTTGTTATGGCTTACGTTGACCTCACTAGATTGACACCACAACTATGCGGTTCCCCTAAACATAATTGTAACATACCTAAGCGTGGGAGCGATAGGAGTAGAGCCAGTCTACGACTCACCCGATTGGTGCGGTCTTCACCAATAGGAGTTTTTCGTGTATACACGTGATACGGGCTTGAGTTTTCTCAGAACCTCCTTGTCTTAGAATATATGTATCAATTTAGAGTAGATAATAAGACTGTAACACGTGTTATTATCTACTCTTGATATGTATCAATACATACTTGATACAATGTATATATTATATTGCAATCTCGTAACCACGTGAATAGTCCTCAAAGTCCAAGGGACTATATCGAAGACGGAGAGACAAGCAGATCAACACTGCGAATCGCAGTAGAGATAGCCGCAAATTTGCAATTTACAAGAGAGAGAATTACAATACGGAATGACAGAAGCATAATTAAATCGAATAAATAATCGATTAAATAAATAAAGGATCGTTGGATGATGGCACATGTCGAAAGAAATGATCAAACTCAATTGATCGGTTGCAACGAACAGCGTCATCAATTGCGTCATCAAGCAATTAAGAGGGAATGCCAATCAGGCAATCTTCACCATGATAAATTTTATGGAAGGTCATAATTAAGTTTATCATGGAGAAAGCGGACATGAAAAGGAGGCCAATCAAGTTGAGCCAAAACAACATCAGCACTATCATGATAGTTTTTGGAACCCATATCGCAGCTTTATGCTGAATGGCATCCAATTTTGAGCAGTTCTGAAGTGTATATAGGGCAGGGATAGGGCAGTGCATGGCGTAGACAGGTCCTCAGTTGTGGGGGGATAATTTTGCTGTTACTTCCATCACAAAATATACGAAGAATGTGGGCGCGTAGCGAACACCGCGAGCGCCTTGGCGCAATGGCCGGCCGTGTCCAGGGTGGGGTCCAGGGGCCCGCCTTAGGACTCCGCATGGTCCGGGATCGGAGTCGAAGCCCCCTGAAGCTCTTCGATTTTAGCAATTTAGAACATTAAAGATGACCGTTTTTGAAAGAATGGAACAAAAAAATTGAAATTGTAAGTGCAATATTTGTGAATTCGAAGGTCATTTTTTTCTTTGGCTCCCAGAGGTTTAATAACACGCAACACCCCCTCCCACAACTACAGCACTGGAATCATCTCTCCCTGAAATTTTGATAAAACATATTTTACTGAGAACGCTTAAACTGTACAAAAAAGTATGAGAACTTCTCTATGAGAACAGTTTTTCTGAAAAACAACCAGATTTGAACGAAAAGGTGCATATATTTCCCGCCCTTATACGAAATCGGAAATATATTCTGGTCGGGTCTTAATTAGCACCCCCCCTCCCCAAAAAAAAGAAAGAAAAAAGAAAAGAAAGTGTGATGAAATTGAATTTTCCGCATTCAATCCCCGCGAAAATTTAATAGCCCAACTCTCAATATTTCTATTCTAATTTTGAATAAAGCAGGGGTTTAACTTTCGTGAGCAGTGATAACTGATAAGACGTGATTTGGGGATTTAAAAAAAAAAAGAATAGCGATGATGGATTTGTAGACAAATGTTCAGTATTTATTCTCTGAAAAACATGAAATTTTTCCCCATTTCCCTCCTGAAAGTAGGGGGGATTGTACACGCCATCCCCCACATCAAAAAATGGGGGAATAGATATCCCAGGGGCGGATTCAGACCGTATTTGCCGTATTGGGAAATACGGTCTAGATTTCAACAGTGCCTTGAAATTTGCGCTAAAAAATACAAAAACAATTTGATGGAATTTGCTATATTCTTTATTTGTTTTCTTTTGTCTTCTGATTCATTGACAATGACTTGAGAAGGAAAATCAAAATGTACATGGATACAAAACTAGCTTTGGCCCTATATCTGAAAAAGAAGGAAGTGCTTGAATGCATTCTGCATTAATTGCTGGTATGCAAAGCACAGGCAAAATGAAGCAGAAATAAATTTCCATAATTATGGTTTTTAGCTATTGCTGCTTGACTAAATGTGTGCTCAAATGGTGCTCATTTTTGTGCCCAGGGACCCTTGAAATTTTGAAATTTCATGGGTGAGGCCCCCAGACCCCCCGCCATGTGCTTCCGCCTATAACGCCGCCCACTGTGGTGTGGTGTGCCCTTTTTGGGGAATGTGCCCTTAAAATCTGGAAAAACACTGTCTAGCTTCAGCCCTGGATCCTCCCCTGTATCCCCCATCTCCCAGCTTATCTCCCCATTTTATTGTTCTAACATTAATCTGTGGATATAGTCTGTTCACTAGCGGATTAAGGGCGGGGCAACAGGGGCACGTGCCCCGGGCCCCCCACATTTGGGGCCCCCCACATTTAGAGTATCCTAAAATTTACAAAACTGTCGTAATTGTGATCCACAAAATTCTTAGCATGTAACGTTGAAGTGATGCGTTTCCCATGCTGTTTCTCTGACTGAATTTTGCTGTTCAGCTGAAGGATACTTTCCCTAATACCGAAATTGCTCTGAGAATCTATCTTTCATTGATGGTCATGAATTGTAGCGGTGAAAGGTCATTTTCAAAACTCAAGTTGATTAAAAATCACATGAGAACCACGATGAGCCAACAGAGACAGGTAAACATCAGTATTATCGCTATCGAAAGTGACATTTTAAATTCGTTGAAACACGATGAAATACTCTCTGAATTTGCAAGCATGAAAGTGCAGAAAAAATACAGACTATAGGGCCCCCACACAATTGCGTGCCCCGGGCCCCCCACACGCTTAGTCCGGCCCTGAGTCTGTTGTTTTACCATAGACTAGGAATATCTTCTTAGTCTCATATATCATACTGTTATAGTCTTATATATCTTATAGATATTCTTAGTATAGTTTATGGTTTTACCGCAAGCGGATAAATGTCGCTCCCACTACGTTGCGTGCGCGGTGATAAACTTCTGGCTGGCGGCAAGGTAAACACATATATAGACTAAGTCATAGTATAATAAATCATAAATTTTTGGAAGAATATTCTTAGTTCTGGTATAAAGTAGCAATGACATTTACCCATCAGCATCATGATTCAAAGTGTTTATTTTGTGCGTAGGTCATGAATATACAGTGTACAGCGCAAAATATAAAGGTATAACGCCAGATTATGTATGAGGAATGTAACAATCAAACTTGTAAGGGTCGGTAAATGTCATTTCTACTGCAGTCTGAGAGAGTTTTAAATGACGTTTGCCACAAGATAACGTCAGTACTACGACTAGCCACAAGTTATCTTTTCGCATGACGAGAAGGTCACAAGCGAACAACGTTTACCAAGCCCATTGGCGCTTCTCTGTATTTCCACGCCGTTATGAAATGTGTATTTACGTCTCAGCGAGAATTTATGAGAATTGATTTGAGCAAGGCGGCAGCGGGTATTCATAGCCTATATCTGTGTGGTGTGCTCGTTGTGTCGTGTTGTTGTGTGTTGTTGTTATCACTGATTTACAAACACTAGGTATAGGTCTATATATAATAATAATAATACTTTGTTGTTTTTACGCAGTAGGCTTATATATATATAGGACAAAGACGTAGAGCTGGCAGCTGTGGGAGGGGGCACTCCGTTTGGTGGAAATCGGAATGAATTGTATGAAAGCCTAGTAGGACTACGATTTTTTTTGGATTGGTGCAATCCAGGACACATTTAAAATGGTTGTTCACCTTTGTGAGTGTATTAAATGCAATGATGGTCCCCATGCTGAGATGATCCCCTTGACAAGGTGGGCGCTGAGCCCGGGGTTCACTCCCATACTAAAGTGGTACGCGCATGCTCGTCAGAGAAATCGTCGAAAAAGGACCGGATTTTGACTCTGTAGCGTCGACGACGTCTTTAGAAAAAATGGGTACTTTTTCAGGTTAACCTTCGACGTTTAGGGTCACTTTTTCGCCCCGGTTTTCGTCATTCGATTCGTCCATTTATTTCCGTGTTTACATTCTCAAAATGATTCTCCCCGGGGTTTTCTAGTCTCAACGTCATGGGAGCCTGGGGGGGGGCACACGCATTGGGTTGGGTACTGGGGACGTGCCGCTGGACGGTATATTTTCCGAACATCATTATTAGCACAGGGTTATCTAGATATCCAGCAAGCAAGCTGACCCAATATTGGCAAAACAATATTGGGCCAATATCACCAGGCCAATTGTGTGTGCAATATTGCAACAGGGTATACTTTTTAGTGCAGTATATTGGGACAGGGTGTAGTTTAGGGTGCAAAGCGGATCGCGACAGGGTCAGGTTTTCAAGGTCCCCGCGAGGCCCCCCCCCCACGCAGGTCCGAGGCGAGTGCCGCCCCCGGGGGGGGGGGAGGGCGCTGAGTTGAGATTGTGCTGAGACTGCCGCGCGTAAAATGTATGCTGAATTTACCATGTAACAGTAGGAATATTCTGACGCCTAAACTATTATATAATCTCTAATTGTTTATCTGGTGTATAATTGCACGTGTGCAGGGGTGTGTCATATCATGTTACTAATAATATTGCTCATTGGTACTCGGAAGGTGGCAGCACGGTCCAGCATGAGGACTGGGGGTTCGTGGCGTGGCGGGAATCATGACTAGCCTGCGGTGTGGATCAGTAGAACGTGAACAATAAATGGCTATGTTTAAACTGGTCTTCCGTCTTATATATTATGACAAGATATTGTTACAGGGCGTAGATAGCGGTGCGGGGGAGGCGGGGAATGCATTCCCCCATTTATTGACGTGGGGGGGGGATGGCGTGTACAATCATTCCCCCCTACTTTCAGGAGGAAAATGGGGAATATAAAATTTTCTGGGGGAGGACCCGCATACCCCCGCCTGTTTCTTACCACCCTCCTCGAAAACCTGCATTGGCCACTGTCGAGCGTAAGAAATTGAGCAACCCCCCTTCAAAAATCGTTTCGAGGCGCCTGTAGTACTGCTAACAAAGATTATGATTATGAATATTTCTATGCATATCAAAAGTCAAATTTGAGTTCATCTGACA